TGATTTTGTTTTCAGTTTTATTTTATTATGAATTAAGAAAGCCACCAATTTTTACACTTCTATTTATCTGTCTCCGTTTTTGCATGGAAGACTGAATTCCCTTTCTCTCCATAATAATCCCTTAAGAAATATAAATTCCCTATGATCCTGTTGTCATTGGCTTTATTAAAAAAAAAACATTGAATTCCTTTCTTATGTTTTTCGAGTTCGTGGCGAGTGACAAGTGACAAAATGACAATCAATGCTAGTATGTTTGCATCGATCTATTTATATACTGATCGAATTCTTTAAGTCAGAGTTCATCTTTCGTTAGAATATATTCCTTTTTAAAAACATTTCCGTTTACAACTCTTGCCTTTTTGGTTCAAAATGTCTTGTCAACTCGCTGCACTCTATACCTGAACGTTCATATCTTCAGTAGTTTCTTCATCTTTTTTTGTGTTTATTCATTTTTGCCCTTTTCTTTTCGTATTCTTTTCATTTCTCTGATCTTCTCATCCGGGTTATCACGCCGTCCTTCACTCGGCCTCACAGCGGCGGTCTCCCTCACAACTTCAATTTATCAAAGGAAGAAAAAAAAAAACTTACACACATACTTTTACATTTTCCATTAAAGTCACACGATTGAAAAATCCATTCAAGAGAGAGAAGCTTCTAATTTCAAACTACCAAGCATTCTATACGGGCTAGTACTGGTACTATTACTATAACTAATAAGGCATCTAGACATCTTAATTCATAGTATTCATAGCATTACTAAACCACATGTCTTTGGTCACATTACTCATCAATCTTTCGTGAGAGACTGAGCACCTGTGAGGCCTTAATGACATCACACGCATTCCTTTATATTTCTCTTTTCTTCTCTCTCTTTCTCCCTAAATATCTTGAAAAAAAATGGATTCCAGCGATTGGGATTATAAACAGCGCCGTCTTTCTCAATTATTCTCCTATCTTTTTAGCTCCTCTTTCCTCCGCCTTCTTTTCATTCTTTCATTCCTTCCACTTTCCTTGATATCTATCCCAACCACGACTTTCTTTCTAATACCTTTGTATATTTTTACTTTCTCCTCCTTTCCATCAACTTCTTCCTCTTGTTATCTTTTTCCCTTCTTTCTTTACCCCTATCTTTCCCTTCTTATTGACTTTATTATTTTCTTCTCTACCTCTCTCCTCCTCTTTCACTTCCACTCCCACTCCTCACCCCCCTTTTCCACCTCCTCTTCCTCCTCCACTTCCTTCCTCCATGGAGACAATAGAAATTTCCGGCCGATCACTCACACCGGAATCTAGTGTTCATATATCAAGTTACAGATTGTTCACATAAGTTCACGCGGAGTCACAACACATCTCCAGCGGTATTAATGTTTTACGATGTATTCCAATTCCAATTTCGTTACTTATTAACCATAGAATGGATATGTATTCTTTTCCATTATATACTCGTTTCTCATATTATTTATATATTACTGTAGAGCGCATGAAAAAATAGTGGGCTTTGGTATTATACTACATGGATATCATAAGACAAAAAAAATGCTATCTCTGTTCATCAAGTTTGCTGCGTGATGGGAACTCAGTGCTCAAAGATTTCCTATTTTCCCAAGCCAGTGGTCCCGACGCACATGTGGTGGTCCCGTTGCACAGGTTTACATGGAGTGTGTGCGTGCTTCCCGATGCTTCCCGGACCAGAAGAAGCGACTGCTGGGTTTCCTCGCCTCCGGTTCTTTAACATCCCGATTCCCTCCTGACTTCCTAGTAGGAGTGTGCTCGCCGCCGGAGTTCGAGGAACGAGGGGCGCGAATCGTGGCTCGAAGCGAAGTGAAACGGGTTTCGATACCCAGTGCGCTCACTCTGTCTTCGAACTCTAGCGCCAAAGATCCTTGTCGTTGTTGTTATTTTCTCCCCGTGTTTTTTTGACTTTC